GCAGAGGAGCAGCAGCTATGATCTTAAAGCCGATGCCTTTGCTGCTTTGATAGTTATTCTGTTGTTGTCAGAGTGTGCTTAGGGTTGCCTGGCATATACACTTTTTATCACTGGTGTGACTGACAGTACAAAATGTTTGGTTAAAGATGTTTTCTCCGTAACTAGAGAATGGGGCATTCTTAAGAGTGCAGTTTTGTGCCACTGATTTTGCCAAATATAAATACTTTCTGCTCTGGCTACATGGTTGTAGAGGAGGGTTGCTATTACTCTGATGGGAGCGTATCTCTGTTCCAGGTTGTTCACACAAAGGCTCCTTATCTTTCCAGGTGTGAGGCCACCTGATTTGGTTGTATGTAGGTCATTACATTACATTACACCATGTTAGCCATTTTGTAAAGCACGGCGGGGCTTGTTTGTAAAGTAAGACAGGGCTGAATACTCAACACCTGTGCTGTACACATTGCGGTAGGAGGGTACGTCAGACTAGTACTTAAGTCTTGTGGACCGAATGCACATAGTACATGTTGATGAACTGTAATGTAACCACTTATTAATCTCCTTCCCTCTTTCTTCCATCTCAGGAGTATTTTTGCTACTTTATAGTTGCAACCATCTTTAAAAATAGCTATAGAAGTGATGATCTAAATGTGATAAAATTACTTCTTTTTTTTATAGATAAGAACAAGTAACAGTACCTGTGGTAAGTGAGCATTAGCAACAAGAAAGCAAGGAAGTTTAGTAATCCAAATGTCACTTCTGTTTGCTTCTGCCAGTGTAATGGAAAAATCTGATCAGGTTGCTTACAGCTGGATGACATGAGAGAGAGAGCAGCTGTCACCTTGCTTGTATGCCTCTAAAATCACCAACAGTTTAGGTCTGCAGAACAGCCACTGGTTTCATTCTGCTGTTTTGGCTTGTGTGTGTGATCTCTGGGCAGCTGCTCAGAACTGGACAAGGGCAGTGTAGAGACAGGTGGCTGTTGAGCTTGTATTTGCTGTATGTGCACAGAACGGAGGTGCTTTTGACCCTGGTGCTTGGAGGGACAGGGGTGGTTCGTGACTCCTGCCTCACCATCTGTACTGCCTTGGGGGGTCACAAGCCATCAACTTGCCAGGAATCTGGAGACTATGAGAATGAACCTGATTTTCCGTATCAGACAGAGCCAAGGAGCGAAGATTGTTACTTACTGTTTGTGCAGAGCCAGATAAATTTTTAACCCAAAACTAAAATAAGGATTGTGGGTAGAAAGGGAAAGGAGTTGTGGGAAGTGAAGATAATTATACCTACAAAGACTGTTAGTTTACCTGCTTAAGAGAACAGGATGAAAAACTAGCAGAAATATCTGTATGGCATGTCTATATTTACTGAAGAGGACTTGGGAAAGAAAAAAATAGCACAGCGTAATTATGATCTTTTCTAGCAATAGAGTGAATGGCCAGTGTGGTTTTCTGTATTTTATTTCCTGCAGTTGTTCAAAAGGCTTATTTTTTTTCTTTCTGTGTTGGAAATACTGGAATCTTGAAAGAAAAGCTAGGTATGACTTGCATGAATCTTGTAATAAAAGAAAGACTCTAGTATACGTAACTGAAACTTAAAATTGTGTAGTATTTGAGATTGGAAGGCACCTCTGAGCATCTCTAACCTGACTACTCACCCTGTTCCTCCAAACAGGGTCAGCTGTAGCAGTTTGCTCAAGGCTGTGTAGGGATGGAGTTTGCTCATCCTTTGGGGGATGGAGATTCCACAACCGCACTGGGCAGCCTGTTCCAGGGGTTTGTTTCATTCAAGGTTTAAGTAGAAATTCCTGTATTTCAGTGTGTGCCTCCAGTCCTGTCACTGATGCCTCCAAGAAGAGTCTGGCTGTGTCGTCTTCACTGCCTCCCGTCAGATACTCATACACGTTGATAAGGTCACTGTGAGCCTTCTTGACAAGCAGCTGGGGACCTTAACCTGTGTGTGTTTGCTCAGTATAAATGCTAGGTCTGATCCTGGGGTACATTAAGAGGAGTGTGGCCAGTAGGTCGAGGGAGGTTCTCCTTTCCCTCTACTCTGTCCTGGTGGGGCCCCATCTGGAGTACTGTGTCCAGTTCTGGGCTCCCCAGTTCAAGAAGGATGAGGAGCTACTGGAGAGAGTCCAGTGGAGGGCTACGAGGATGATGAGGGGACTGGAGCATCTCTCTTATGAGGAAAGGCTGAGGGAGCTGGGCTTGTTCAGCCTGAAGAAGAGAAGGCTGAGAGGGGACCTTAGAAAGGCTTATAAATATCTGAAGGGTGGGTGTCAGGAGAATGGGGCCAGACTCTTTTCAGTGGTGCCCAGCGACAGGCAACGGGCACAAACGGAAGCACAGGAAGGTCCGTCTGAACATGAGTAAGAACTTCTTCCCTCCGAGGGTGACGGAGCACTGGAAGAGGTTGCCCAGGGAGGTTGTAGATTGTACTTCTCTGGAGATATTCAAGACCCGCCTGGACAAGGTCCTGTGCAGCCTGCTGTGGGAGACCCTGCTTCAGCAGAGGGGTTGGACTAGATGACCCACAGAGGTCCCTTCCAACCCCGAACATTCTGTGATTCTGTGATCAAATCAGTGCCAATCTGCTAGTAACTCACCTTCACACAAAGCCAGGAAAGTAGACATTAAGGCAGCATTTCGAAGCTTAAAGAATGAATATGAGATTTCTGATGAGTTATTCATACTACCTTCGTATGAAAATAATTAGTACACCATTTCCTTAATTTGCAAATGATGAACTGTGGCATGTTGTTTGACAGGGTAGCATTTACAGAGTATATTAGATGAGCAGGTTGTCCCACACATGCTCCTTTTGTTCTTCTCAAAAGCTACATCTGATTATACTAAATCACCAAAGAATTTGAATCCTTATTTCAAATCTTTTCTCCAGATCTCTTCCTACATTTGAAGCCCATTGTAGCTAATAGGTCTGTTCTCAGTATTTGGGAAGTGATCAGTGCTGTTCCCAAGATTGACTTCTGGTGTTATAGAATCACAGAATCACAGAATGTTCGGGGTTGGAAGGGACCTCTGTGGGTCATCTAGTCCAACCCCCCTGCCAGAGCAGGGTCACCTACAGCAGGCTGCACAGGACCTTGTCCAGGTGGGTCTTGAATATCTCCAGAGAGGGAGAACCTCCCTCGACCTGCTGGCCACACTCCTCCTAATGCACCCCAGGATCCCATTAGCTTTCTTGGCAGCCAGGGCACACTGCTGGCTCATGGTCAACCTGTTGTCCACCAGGACACCCAGGTCCCTCTCCACAGAGCTGTACTCCAGCAGCTCTGCCCCAAGCCTGTACTGGTTACTGCATTGGGTTGTTCCTCCCCAGGTGCAGGACCCTGCACTTGCCCTTGTTGAACCTCATCAGGTTCCTCTCTGCCCAACTTTCCAGCCT